GCTCAGCTCCAGCCGTTGCGGCCGCCTGGGGAGTGAATCATCAGACGGAAGATCTTTCCTCTCTGTATATCCGCCTTTCCAATGAAAAAAAAATAAATCTTTAAAAAAAAAAAAAAAGAAATGATGTCTTACCAACAGAGGATGTGGTTCTGTATATAGACTTAAGGAAAATGAGTATGTCACATATCATATCTTACATGTTATTTCTCGGTCCAACCGTAGCTCCCTCACAGTGACTTCATGGTACCACACAAGCTGCCTTCGATTGTACAGCTCTCCTATGTCCTGCCCTCTTTGCTTCTCCCTTTGGTATAGGTCTTCTGTCCCACTGCCACTCCTCAGTCGTGCTGGGACTTCTGCCTGTCCAGGGGCCTCTGCACTTGCTGTTCCCTCTGCCTCGACTGCTTTCTCTCAGGTACTTGCATGGCTGGTTTCTCACTCAGATCTGGAGTTAGCTTTTACCTTTTCAGTAAGGTCTTCTCTGAATTCCCTTCTTGAATCTGTAAAACTTTTCTTTTTATTCTTCATGCCCCAACTCCCAACTGTATTACTGTTTTATTTTTCTTCATAGAACTTTACTCCATCTAACATATTATTCCTTTATTTTATTTATATGAAAGGCAGAATTAGGGAGGGGACACACACACACACTCGGGGGCAGGTAGAGAGGTCTTCCATCTAGTGCTTTACTCTTCAAATGGCCACAGTGGCTAAGACTGGCCAGGCCAAAGCTAGGAGCTTCTTCTAAGTTTCTTATGTGGGTGCAGGGGCCCAAGTACTTGGGTCATCCCCTATTGCTTTCCCAGTTATATTAGCAGGGAGCTGGATCTGAAGTGCAGCAACCAAGATTCAAACTCATGCTCATGGGATGTTGGCACTGCAGGTTGGTGGCTTTACTTGATACACCACAGTGCTAGACCCAAACTCCTCACTGGTGTTCTCTTGCTGGAACTTAAACTCCATAAGTACCGGAATGTTCTTAGTACTTAAAAAAATGACTGGTGCGTAATAGGCAATTAAAAATGTTTTTTTTTTTTTGCATAAGTAAATGAATAGTATGAGTTTTATAACCTTTGTGAAAGCTGATAGATGTTTATCCTTGGCATCATTAGTAATAAGCATATTGGGTGTTATTTATAGAATTGGATTCATGGTTTCTCTAGCCTGGAATTGACAAACTTTTCCTGTAAAGTGCCAGAGGGTACACATTTTTGTGGTCCTTGTGGTCTCGTTGCATCTACTCAACCCTATTGTAGTGCAAAAGCAACCTTAGAGAGTTTGTAAGTGAGTGTGACCTGATAAGGTTATTTATGGACACTAAAGTTTGAATTTTAAACAATCTTCAAATGTCACAAATATCCTTTTAAATTTTCCAGCTATTTAAAAATACAAAACAAAATAGCCAAAGACCCAGATTGGACCTGCTGTACTTTACCAACATTTGCCTTTTTTCTTTTAAAATTTTACTTATTTGATTGCACATGTGCACACATGCATCCACAGGACAGGGATGATTTTCAGAAAGAGGGGTATATCCCATGCCCCTGCTCACTTCCCAGATGCCCACAACAGCTGGGGCCGAGCCAGGCCAGAGCCAGGGAGTCAGTCCAACTCTCCAGTGTGGGCGGCAAGGACCCCAGTACTTGAGCCGTGCACATCATCAATAAGCTTAGTGGAACTGGTACTAATTATGGGATGTAGGCCTCTCAAGTGGTGACTTCATACTTTGCCAAACTCTACATTTAAAAAAAAAACATAAAGAAATGCTTTTAAAAACATGTCTTAGCTGAAATTTATTATTCGTTAGAGCTAGAGAGCAACAATATGGATTAAATCCAATAATTCAGAAACACTTCTATCAACTCCAGAAACTTTCAGGTTGTGTCATATTTGTCTTCTTGGGGACTTTATGTTTTCATTTTGTGTTTATGATGCTAATATTTAAATAAGTTTGGCTTCTCTTAGCCAATGCCACGTGATGGTGTTAGGGGTTGGTCTAATAACCCAGGAGCAGAGCCCACCCACGTTTAAGAGCTTGCCATTATTTACAAGGTGAATGACTCCCATATGGGAGGATCTTCAGTTGTCAGCCAGGCCTAATGCCCAGAGGACTGTCGCTGTGAATGAGAATTGTGTTGCAGTTTTTAACATCATCCATAACACGTTTCTTGAATAAGCTGCAAGTGCTTTTAATAATATTTCTCAGAGTTAATTTTAGCTATGCTGCGTTGGCACTTTTTTCCCCCTCTATTTAAATAAAAAGAAACGATTTTATTATAAAATCAAGCTGTGATTTGGAAAAGACGTCATATTTTTCTTGGATGAGAGGGAAATGTTTTCCATTCTTAATGGTGTGGGGTGGGAATTTGGCACATTGAGTTAAGATGCTGCTTGGGATGCATGCATCCCATGTCAGAGTGTTTGGTCCCAGCTTTGCTCTTAATTTCAGCATCCATCTCATGTGCAGCGTGGGAGGTGGCAGTCGAGGGCTCAAGCACTGGATTCCCTGCCACCCACATGGGAGACTCCTTGATAGAGTTCCAGTTTCTTGGCTTAAGCCTGGCTCAGCTCCAGCTGTTGTGAACATTTAGGGAGTGGACAGGTAAATGGGAAAGCTCTCTCTCCATCTCTTTGTCTTTTGAAATTTAAAATTTGCTCCATAAATGTGCAAAATAGTAGTCAATAGGGTCAGCAATTTGTGCTGTGTAAAAGCTTTGGGACTCAGAACAAGACCTGAACTCACAGTTGGCTTTCAGGCAGTCTTTAGTTTCAGTGCTATGGCCTCTACCTTTATCTACTCTTGAGGATGGCCAGAGATACTCAGGAAGAAAGTCATGGGCCTGCCATGCTCGTTTTGTATAGCTCTGGGAAGGGAGGAGTAGGCCAGTTATATCACCCAGTATAGCTACTTGCCGACTCTGTTTTCTTCTTCTGTTATTTTAGCTACTGTGCGATTCTGAGCATGTTCTGTCGTTATTCCCTTTTCTCTGGCCTTCCTCCTGTTCTCGATAATCACAACACCAAAGATTTCAGTTTGCCAACAAATGGCTAATAAAATGACTTGCATCTGATTGACAAAACAAGAAGGAGTTGAACGTGACCTCAAGACTTGAAATCTAGATGAATAAGAGAATCAGTGCCCCAGTGTCTGGGCACAGGAAGATGTGATGAGTACTAGTTTTGGGTTTGGGTGGGTGAGCTCTGCAGTTTGTGTCATAGATTTAATTGGTTTGTCTTTGAGGTGATGGTGGAAAGCTTTCTAGATTCAGTTTTCTGTCCTTTCAAAAAGTAGAGAAATTGATTGAATCAAATATCTGGATCAGTAGGAGAACTTACAGTTAGAATCAAATCTTTTCTATTCCTTTTACATGTTTTTTAAAAGCCCCATTTCAGCAATCCTTTGATTATAAAATAAGGAGGTTTCGGTGTTGGTACAGTAGCATAGCATGTTTATGTTCTACCTGTGGCACTGACAGCCCATATGAATGTTGGTTTGTATCCTAGCTGGTCCACTTCCAATCTGGCTCCCTGGTAATGGCCTGGGATAGCAGTGTGGGAGGGCCCAAGTCCTTGGGCTGCTGTACCCACGTGGGAGATCGGAAGAAGCTCCTGGCTCCCAGTTTTCTACTGGATCAGTGCTGGCCATGGCAACCATTTAAGGAGTGACCTAGTGAATAGAAAATCTCTGTGTCTCTGTATTTGCTTGTGTCTGTAATTGTGGCTTTCAAGAAAAATAAATGAATCCTTAAAAATAAATAAATAAAGTAGCGTTTTTTCTGCACCTTTTTGCTACTGTTTTAAATTGTCATGAATTTTATTTACAGTTTGGGGATAGTTCTACATCTTATGAGTCAAGAAATCGTGTGCTGAAGTGGAAAATGTGATATGATTTCATTCTTTAATTGCCTCTTCACTTTGGAGTTTATATGATACGTTAGACATTTTATGTTAGTTTAATTAAACTTTTGCTTTTTTATTTAGTTTTTAAAAGTCAATTATGTATGAACAGATTTTAAAATGCCCCTTTGAAATCTTACCCTTTACTTCTTTGTATTCTCAACCACTGGAGCTGTGAAAGCAGGTATAAGACCAGTTGATGTTTTGTTGGAAATAATAGGATGAAAAGCACACTCTTTTTCACTTTATCGCAAAAAAGCAAATGCTAGGCATTTTAAATTAGAGCAATTTAAATTATAAGAGGGTAAAGCCATGCTCTATCATGTGAGCATTGTAATTCTACCAAATGGCTTAGTCAAGATGAGAAGGTTAATGAATTTAAGCAGACAAGTCTGCACAAAAAGGTGCTGTTATACCATCTCACCATACGCTCCTACAGAGAAGGCTGTAATACCTTGCCTTTGAATAGGGGCGAGCTGACTGGCAATGGCAGACCCTTTTAGAAATCCATCTAGTACCCTGTCATCAGTCACCTGGTACTTTATCTTGGCCAAAGACTCCAAATGATATAGGGAATATGTGATTGTATGTGATTTGGTTCACTAAGCACTTCTTTTAAAGTGAGGTTTTGGTGTTTTTTTTTTTCCAAGATTTTTTTTCTTTTTAGAAAGGTAGAGCTACAAAGTGAAGGAGAGAGATCTCCCATCTACTGCTTCACTCTCCAAATGGCTACAGTGACCATCGTGGGCCAGTCTGAAGCCAGGGGGTTGGAGCTTCTTCAGATTTCCCACATGAGTACAGGGACCCAATCCAGCACTTGGACCATCCTGTACTGCTTTCCTAGGCACGTTAGCAGGGTGCTGGATTGGGAGTGGAGCAGCTGGGACTTGAACCAGTGCCCTTAAGGGATGGTGGCACAGCATGCAGAGGTTTATCTTACTATATCATTCACATTGGCCCCCTAGTGTAGGTGGCTTTACAGATTATCTTTACATCTTTTGATTTACATCTAGAACTTTCTTGAACAGGCTACCTTATCTTACCATACGTTTTTGGAATTATCAGAGTTCAGCTGTTCTGATGGCCTCTTCTCTTCCATACAGGTGCCCAGAGGGCTTCTTGGGAGAGTATTGTCAACATCGAGACCCATGTGAAAAGAATCGCTGTCAGAATGGTGGGACGTGTGTGGCCCAGGCCACATTGGGAAAAGCCACATGCCGATGTGCTCCAGGGTTCACAGGAGAGGACTGCCAGTTATCAACCTCTCACCCCTGCTTCGTGTCTCGACCCTGCCAGAATGGAGGCATCTGCCACACACGTGGCCGGGATACCTTTGAGTGCACCTGCCAAGTTGGCTTTACAGGTAACAAATGGGACTCAAGTCTTTTACTTCCTTATTCTCCAACAGGTGTCTTTGCGTTATGTCTTTTAGCCCTTAGAAGTCTCCCTAGTCTGGTAGACATTACCATTATGAAAATTAACTGATAATATTCCAGTCAGGTACACTTCACTTCCTTTTGGAAGTCTTAAAAGCAGGGAAGGAAAAAGAAAAAGGGTCACATACTTAGAACTGTTTGCTTCAAGTGTATGTTATGATTTGTGATCAAAATTACTTCAGTAACAGAAATCCATCATTGCCAGAAGGAAAGCAGTTGATATTGTTGATTCCTTGCTTAGTGTAATCTGCTTTCTCCAGGAATGGCAAACCTTTTTATGCTGTTGCCATTTGGAGATTAATAACATCATCTTTTGGCCAATCAGAATTATCAACTGAAAAATTAACCAGGTATAATTATTTTGAATTTCCAGTCTCACCCATGGTTGCCTTGGCAGTGCCAGACCAAGCCATTTTGCAGGTTAGACATTCCCCACTCCTGCCAATGCTCCAGCTTTTCTTGTTTTCTTTATTCCTCTGCTTTTGTTTTTTGTTTTTGTTTCTGCACTGTTTTTTTCCTGAGCCATTAACTTTGTGTTTCTTGGAATACCATTTGCAGCCTTCTTTGAGTCACATCAAAGCTCTCCCTAGAGTTTCACTATTTTTAATGGCTTCTACAGTTGGTATCTTCATCAGTAGCTTATGACTCTCCCACCCACCCTGACATTCAGGCTGATATTTGTAACTCTGTTGCATGTTCTTGAAAATTCTGCAGGTTTCTCATACTCAACAGGTTGACTTAAATAAGTAATGCCCATGTGAGTTCCAGATACCTAAACTGGAAACTCTGCTCCTTTGTCTTTACTGAACATTAATTCAGTCACCCAGTTCAACCTGTGAATTACTGTTCACCTGTCCAGTGTCCTTCATTTCCTATGGCACTCTTCAGTTAAGGACCCTGGTATCTATCTCTTGGATTCCTAATGTACTTGCCTAACTAATTTTCTTTGCTTTTATCCCATTGCATTTACTCATCCACATCCATCATCCACACAATAAAGCATAGACTCTTTCACATGGCTTTCATGGCCCTCTGTAGTCTACAACTTGCATCTTCTTTTGCCCTCCCTTCCCTAGAAGTATAAAGTCTTCTCACATCAAAATTCTCATTTACTGAAAATATTGTACTCGTGTCACCTTTATGCAGTTGCACACTCCTCAGCTGGAATGCCCTGGTGTACAATTGATGTTGCTTAAGACTTGTGTTAATGATCCTTTTCTTACTCTTTGAAGTAGTTTATCTCAGAGTTCTATTAATTTTATGTTACTTTATATGATTGTATGTTTCTCACTTGAATAGCTTATGTGGGTTTTATTGGTAGATTTGAGGTTTATTAAAAATAAACTGCAAGTATTTATTAAAGCAGGTGAGCAAAAAGTACTGTTTCCATGTTATCTCCTGCGTTAAGCAGTAAATCAATAATAATAATAGCAATAAAATGAGAAATACACACAGCAAACTAGACTAGACCATTCAGAATAATTGTCTTCTCAATTTTTCATTCCCGCTGAACCACAGGAGTCAGGAATGTCCCTTATCCCATCACAACTGGGATAACATTCATGATCTGAGTCACTGAAGAGATTTCATGGGTACAAGAGTAATATCATTTTTAGTGTCAACTTTGAGTAATTTACTGTCACCAAGAGGCTGACATTCATTTAGTATATTTTAGTTCTGACTAAAAGAAACAGCAGTGAACCGTGTTCATGATTCAAGTGCCACTTTGAAAGGGCACCCACATTGAAGCATCTTCTTTTGCCATTGAAAGGTTCCTCTTTTTGTGCATTTGTTACTTTTGTTTATTGCTTTAGGAGTCACATCAGGTCAAATGTATCCTTTTGGTGTTTGCCATAGCCCAATACTTCACCTAGTCAGATGTTTGTTAACTTACCTCCACTCATAGTTGAGAAAACAAAAGCGACAAGCTCATGCCTATGTATAATATGTATGGGAAACATAGTTCAAGGATCATTTTCTTTTGCTTATGGCTAAACACTTTCAATACACACCGTTGCCAGAGGCAAGCGTTTATGTTTCATCTCCACAGTAGGGAAGCATTCTCGGTATCAAGAGTGAAGGGAAACAAGGAACAGAAATGGTTCTTCCTTCGTCTGTGTAGTTCTGGAAGATGGATGGCCCATGTGCAAATTTGTTTTGCACCTTTCCCCTTGGATTTGGCACCCTTGGAGAGTGCTTCTCTTTGCTACCTCTTCTCTTTAGGAAAGGTGTCGTATTTCCCGTTTGTTTTTCTGTAGGGTCAGTGATTTGGATCTTTTGCTGAACAATCATTTAGAGTATTAGTAAATTCCCAGAGTTCTCATCTCCTTGGTTTAAAAGATGGGCTGGGTGTTTGGCCTCTCAGATAAGACACCAGTTAGAATGCCTACCTCCTTCGCAGAAGTACCTGGGTGTGGTGCCTAGTTCTGGCACTGGCTTCTAGGCTTGGGGGTAGCAGTGACAAGTAGTTGGGTTTCTGTAGCACATCAAGTGTGGGAAAATGGGATTGAATTACCAGCTTGTGGCTTTAGCTCACGCCAGTTATTATGGGCATTTGGGGAATTTAGTACTAATACTAGTACTAGTACTAATACCAATACCAGTTCCAGTACTAATATGGTGGATGGGAGTTAAGTTTCTCTGTTTCTCTCGAATTCATAAGGAAAAATAATAATACTTATCACGGAGGAAATCTGTTATCCGTCTTATGGAAAGTGTCAGTACATTTTGTTCATTCACGAGATTTGAGAGCATTCTGTATATGGAAGGCAGAACAACTTCATGCGTATGTATGCATGAAGGGAAAACCTCTGATGACTTTATAGAGGTGGTAACTTTTGAGCATAGTTGTTAAGAGTACCAAGAATACACTGGGTAAATGAAAAGGAAGCTGCCATTCCAATCAGAGGGGCAGCTTGTGTAAAACCAGAGATCGGAGGGAATAGAGGAGTCCAGACTGTTGGGTCATGAAGGCCTGTGCTTCAGGGACAAAGTGGCAGTTTCCTAACATGCTCTGTCCACTGAGTGCTTTGTTTTGCTTACATGCCTTGGAGAGTTTCTGGAGCATGCCTTCAGTCAGATGATCTTGGAGGGGCTCAGATCTGACCTGATGCAGAATTCAGAGTTTAGAGGTTCTGCCTGTATGAGCTCCCTCATGTCACCTGCATTACCCCCCGACCCTGGGTGGGTGAGAAGGAATTAAGGATGAATCTGGCTCCTGTGTCTGAGGCAACACTGAGTTCTGTTTTCCTTTCTTTAGGGAAGCTGTGCCAGTGGACTGATGCCTGCCTGTCTCATCCTTGTGCAAATGGAAGTACCTGCACCATTGTGGCCAACCAGATATCCTGCAAATGCCTTGCGGGCTTCACAGGGCAGAGGTGTGAGACTGATGTCAATGAGTGTGATGTTCCAGGACGCTGCCAGCATGGTGGGACCTGCCTCAACCTGCCTGGTTCCTACCAGTGCCAATGTCCACAGGGCTTCACAGGCCAGCACTGTGAAAGCCCCTATGTGCCTTGTGCCCCATCCCCCTGTGTCAATGGAGGCACCTGCCGGCAGACTGGAGACTTCACTTTTGAGTGCAACTGCCTTCCAGGTAAGGCTCTCCATCGTCATCGTGCCCTGGGTCTGGGGGACAAACACTTAGCACAGGAGAAAGGTGGTAAGTTTGACTCAGTGGTTTCTGTAGGAAGTATCAGAAAGCAGGGAAAAAGGGAAGTGAGAATGTCATGTGAGGTGAGTTGCTGGTGAGGGAGGAGTTTTATGGGCCCACTGTTGTCCATAAACGGAGCAGGGGTAATTTAACGTGTCAGGGTTTATGATGATGAGTAGCTAGGAAATTGTTTATTGTCCCTTTTGGAGAAACAGTGAGAAATATGAGAGAGAGCTCTGGGAAAGGGATACACATGTCTAAAATGGAGAACTCAAAAGTAGCCGCTGGAAAATATGCACGTGTGATTAATCAAGCGCTTTAAGTTGAATTCAAACTTGGAGTAGGGAATCGACTTTCCTATAGACTTTGTGGGACAGTTTGTTATTTTCCTGCCCATGCAAAGGCACACACCTGTTCTTTGTGAGTTCTTTGGGCTATATACCTTCAGAATCCTTTCCCATGTACCTTGTCCAGCTTTAGTGTTAACCTTGCCCTAACCTGAAGCTGGAGAACTTTAAAACTGGACAAGTCCTGGGTTGGTAGCTAGTGTCTGAACCATCACATACAAATCCAGCACCTTATCATACTCTTAGCCGCTTCAAGTTCCCTGGACCCCACACACAACCCCAAGACAGAAATAAATGAGGAACAGTGTCCAGGAGCTTAGAGCCTGGTGTTTCATAGAGAACGGGAAAGAACAAGCCTGGCCAATTTACTTAACTCCTTATAAAAATGATGAGGAGGCTGAAAACCAAGAATTTTGATTGGGAACAGAACACAAGCAGCTGGAGCAGATGAATTACTAAGCAACAAAGATCCTGTTTTTATACAAATATCTTCAGCACAAAAACAAAAGAAGAAAAAACTGTAGGGGAGAATAATGTGCTAAGTAAGCAGAATTGCCTCAAAAAGAAGTTGTTCTAGCCGCTCTTGCAGGGTGGGAATCTTAGATCCCGGTGCTGTGTATGTGGTTCACAAGTAATGAGATTGTGTGTTTTTCACCTGTTGAGGATTAAAGGTCATCAGATAATCCCTAGTATAAAACCAAATGATAATTTATGCATTTCATTCAGTGAAATTTTTATTGACTATTGGTTCTAAAGCATGGCAGTGTGACACTTGTTATCATCTAACCCGCTCACAGGAGCAAGCTATCTACTAGCATTGCAACCTTTAGTTTCTCTTTCAGTAAAGGACAGATAATGCTATCATTCCAGATAGTAAATGTTTATTCACATAATATTACTATCACTCACATTATCTTGTAAAAAGAAGAACTAAGATATCTTTCTCCATCCCTTTATTTGTTTGCATTTTAGGAGTTGAAGACAAAGATGTAAACAGTTTGGCAAGTGTTTTAATGTTACAAATATTGCAGTACTCTAATCATGTAGTAATTCCAAGGTTAATGTGATCAGTTGAGGAAGGCTGAATGTGTTGTGCAGTATTCAGAAAATTCAGCAGTTGAACAGGAGGTTGATTTGGCAGTGAGCTATTGACGGGAAGTTGGAGAAGTCAATAAAGGAAGCTTTTAGCTTTGAGAGAGTGATTGTTCACTCCCAGGGTCTCCGTATTGTTACCCGTGAGCTACAATAGAACCTTAGGGAATTCTGAGAGTGTGTCCAGGAAAGGAACTGTCAAACTAGAATAGTATCTCTTCCTTGAGAAAGGAAATAGCCAGGGTTCTACAGCTGAGTGGCTGCAGGGCTGCTGGGAGACCTTGGCTTGTGTCTGAGTGCTGTGCTTCTAGCGGAAGCACGACACTAAAGTGCTTGTTGATGGCGCATGTGTGTATGTGCACATGCATGCGTACGCTTTGAGGACTGCGGGCCTTGGCGCAGGGAGGGAGAAGAGTTGGTCAAGAGAAAGCGTACATTTATTGAATGCTTTCAGTGAGTTTAGTATCAGAGGTTCTCACACTTGTTAGCTTGATTACACGGAAACGTGGGATAGATAAGTTCCCATGTTTTCTCAGGTGACTTAACTGAAGGTTGAAGTTATTAAGTGATTTACCCAGATACATGACTAGATGAGGCTGGGTTCTGGAACGCAGTGCGGTTATTTGCAAATCTGTGCTTTGTGCATATGATTGCATCCCATTTGCTTTCCGCAAATCCTCTGAGGATGAATGAAACTAAGCACTGTGAATTGATCGGGTTAAAAATATGGTTCATGCTGTGACAGGGACATGACTAATGTATATGCTATATATACATATTGAAATATTGCACATAGGTCGTGATAGTTGTCAAAGTATTACATATTAAATAAAAATTAAGAAACCATAAGGGCAACTGTTTGGTGCTGCTGCCGAGTCACTAAGTGGGTTCCTTGTGTCTCTGTCAGAGGGCTTGGATTCGGGTCTCAGCTCTGCTGTCTGTTGCGGTGTGTGGCTGACGTGCAGCCTGTGCTGGCAGTGGGTGGGCGAGCCAGTATTTGGGCCCCGGCCATTGATGTGGGGTCCCAGGTTGACTTCCTTGCCCCTGGCTGCAGCCCGGCCCGGCTCTGACTGTTGTGAGCATTTGGGGACGGACACAAAGATGAGAGATCTCTATTTCTGTGTTTCTAACTGCTTGCCTTGCTAGTAAGATAAATCAGTAAAAATGTTTAAAAACAAACAAAAATGAAGTGCTGTAAATTATGATCAAATACTATTTGTTACACATCAGTTTATGTATATAGTATGTGTAGATACTGGAAAGAGGTTTAGCAGATGAGTTTTGTTTTTTTTTTTCAGGGTCCTCCTGATCTAAAACTGGATGACTTCAGCTTGGACACACACACACACACACACACACACACACACACACACAAAGGGAAATTTTTCAAGCCCTCAATGCAATAGAGGATGCAGCGACACTGTGCATAACTACGTATTGAGTTTCTCAGGTGCTGTGTAGGCTCATGATTCTGACACTGCAGGTGGAGCCTGGAATGTATTCATTTTATTTCCACATGCTGTGCCATTCTCCTTGCCCCTCTGTTACTCTCCGTACTATTTAGAGACCAAGGTGTTACTTAGAGCAATAGCGACCATCTCAGTGTGAATAAGCACCCTTATTTAAAGGATTATTTCCTGTCTGAAAATGGGAAACGAAGGCAGCCAGAGGGAAGGTAGCTTGTTCAGGCATCCTGCCGCCCCAGCCACCTTTCAGGCCTTTGCGTTTGCAACTGAACCCTGCCTTGACCTCACTGTTTAAAATTGCAAGCATCGCTCCCTCCCCTTAAATACTCACTGTGGTCTCCTTTTTTTTTTTTTCACTGTGACACTTATCTCCTTACTATATAATTGGTACTCTATAATTTACTTCACTATGGCTATTGTTTATTGTGTTTCTAAATTCTGTTGCCTTTTTCCTTGTCCAGAATGAAAAGTAGGGACTTTGTTTTTGTTTACTGATGTATCCTAAACACCCAAAAGCATTCATTAGGAACTCACTGTGTATGAGTTCAGTATCAGACTACTGTCTTCTCCTGGGCTCCCTGGTGCCTTGGGACTCGAACGTAGTTTGGCTTCTTTGTCCTTTTATATTCTGATGCTGGATAAGAAGGATTCGGGTGTGGGTTGTTTGTTTTGTTTTTTTACCTCTGAGAGTTGGTGAACACCCCAATAAGTTAGTGATTGCATTTAAATGGTTAAGTTGTAATTCTTTTCCTGCAAAGGCTACCTGTCCCCCTAAGTTGGCTTTGGTAATGCTGTAGGACTCAGGAGGAGGGGATTAAACTGCAGAAGGGCCTCCCCACACAGAGAGAGGGAAAAGGGACATCTGGAAGAGGAGACTTGTTTCATCTTCCCCTTGGATCGTGGGGATACTTCATGAGGTCCCCATTATGTAACGTTCACAGAAACCCTGAGACAGGGCATTGGACCACAGCAGCTTTTACATAGGAACAAAGTAGAGCATGAAAATAAATTATTGAATCAGTGACTCCTGGTATTTTTGGGTTAGTGCCAAGCATTGAAGAGAGAATGAGGTAACCTGGTTTTGTGCTAGTGGCTGTTGTAATAGAGCAACACATGTCATCAGAATATAGAGCGATTTTGAATCCACTAGCTGCCCCTTAACCCCCAGTTGGATTGCATAGTCCTTAGGATGCTTTTCCCCTTTCCTTCTCCTCCAGCATCTTACCCTTTATAATTTTTTTGAAAGTTGGCCCTGTACTTTTTTTTTCAAGATTTATTTATTTTTATTGGAAAGTCAGATATATGGAGAGGATGAGAGACAAAGAGGAAGATCTTCAATCCACTGGTTCACTCCCCAAGTGACCACAATGGCCAGAGCTGAGCTGATCTGAAGCCAGGAGCCGTGAAACTCTTCTGGGTCTCCCATGTGGGTGCAGGTCCCAAAGCTTTGAGCTATCCTCGACTGCTCCCAGGCCACAAGCAGGGAGCTGGAAGGGAAGCAAGGCTGCCAGGATTAGAACCGGCACCTATATGGAATCCTGGCGTGTTCAAAGCGAGGACTTTAGCCACTAGGCTATCGCACTGGGTCCTATAATTTTTTTTAAGCTCCATAAAAGGCTGCTTGATCTGTTCTCTCAGAAAAGTGAAGGTCTGTCCTCTCTAAACCATCTTGGCCCTTCCCAGGCTGATTCGGTGCAGTAGGTTCTATGTTAGAATACAGCTTAAGCACATTTTGTGGCTTCTGTATCTAGTGTGTTGAACTTAGCTTCAGCAGTGTTAGAAAGGGCCTGGCTTGATGTCTTAGGATCCCATATGGGTGCCAGTTCATGTCCTGGCTGTTCTACTTCCCATCCAGCTCCTTGCTTGTGACCTGGAAAAGGAGAAGAGAATGGGCCAAAGCCTTGGGACCCTGCACCTGCCTGGGAGACCAGGACTCCTGGCTCCTGACTTCAGATCAGCTCAGCTCCATTGCGGCTGTTTGAGGAATGAACCAGCGGTTGGTGGATCTTTTCTCTGACTCTCCTCTGTAAATCCGATCTGTCTTTCCAATAAAAATCATATTTAAAAATACCTGCTAGAAGTCCCGCTTTCATTCTCACTCTTGGGCATGTAGAGTTCCCTGGGTTTTTATACTAATCACAATCAGGCAGATTTGCATTTCTGGGTAGACTCCTGGCAAGGCGGGGGTGGTGAGATATCCTGGTTTCTTTCATCCAGTTCCAGATCCGTGTCTGTCTGTCTGTCTGTCTCTTTACCCCTCACTGATTCATTTCTGCTTATGGAAAGCTTTTGCTGAGTGCCTGCAGCCTGGCCTGAGAGCATCATAGGCTGTGTCCTGTCTGCCTGCCCTTTGTTCCTGTCTTTTTGTTCCACTCCACCCGGTCTTTGTAGCTCTCACCTCCCAGGGCCTTGAAAATGAAAGGTATGCTCTCTGGAGAGACACTGTTCTCTCTCTGTGTGGGACAGCAAGTTCAAAGCACTGTTTTCTGATCCCTATGCTGGTTGTCACATTAATCATTAAGTGGCCCACGGTTTTATAACAGCACAGTTTCTGAATGTTCTTCCTAATTTCTCTCCTTTTAACCTTTTAAGGAGGGGAATTGGCTTTAAGCAGCAGACTGGTCCTCAGTACAGCCATGGGGGCCTCTCTGTGACCCTGTGACTCGCCTCCCGCCCACACGGCTGGAGACTTTACCCTGAAACTTCAAAAGTGTTTTAAAGCAGTGACTGTGCTGTAACTGGTTGTATAACCCTACACACATTATCCCCTCCTCGAGTCCTCCATTGCTAGACTTTTCCACAAAGAGTTCTGTATCTGTATTTTTAAAGCATATATCCTGTCTTAATATTGGAGGAAAACTGGTTTGGCTTGAGTTTTATCAAACCTGGGACTTTTTTTGTTTTTTGGATTTTTTTTTAAAGATTTATTTATTTTTATTGCAAAGTCAGATATACAGAGAGGAGGAAAAAGAGGAAGATCTTCCATCTGATGGATCACTCCCCAAGCGGCCACAACAGCTATACCTGAGCTGATCCAAAGCCAAGAACTTGGAATCTCTTCTGGGTCTCCCACACAGATGCAGGGTCCCAACACTTTGGGCCATCCTCAGCTCTCTCCCAGGCCACAGGCAGGGAGCTGGATAGGAAGTGGGGCCTCCAGGATTAGTATGGGATCTTGGTGCATTCAAGGCAAGGACTTTAGCCACTAGGCTATCGCACTAGACCCCAGACATGGGACTTTTGGCTTACAGTCAGTGTTTCAGATTGCAGAAAGGTCACTCTGGGGTTGCAGAAAACATGTTAACTAAAACTAGATAAAGCATCTTGCTCAGTATTGACTGCTAACTAACTACTAGCTATAGAGTCTTTGACAGGTTAGCCCTGGAGCCCTTAACTTTCTCACCTATGCATGAAAGATAAAGAGTGGATCATTTCTAAATGATTCCATAATTTCATTGATAATATATCATAGTTGGTATGTGTAAGTTCCTGTTTTTAAGTGCCTTCTTTCCTAATGTAACAGCTTTACTGCAGTATAGTTTGCATGCCGTGTAATTTGCTCAGAGTACTACAATCCGGTGATTTTTTTAGTATACTCATGGGTAACTATTACCGCTCTTTAACAGTATTTCATACTACAAAAGAAACCATGTGCCTAACTGTGTCGTAATTATTCTCCTTTCCTTTTAAGTTCTCCAAGCCTTCGACAGCTGCCAAGTTACTTTATGTTCTTATTTTACTATTCTACTTATGTACATATAAACAAGTAGTATATCATTATCTTTGGCTTCTTTCCTTTGGTATGTTTTCAGGGTTCATGTATGTTAACAGCATGTGTCACCATGCTGGTTTTCATGGCTGAGTAATATTCCATTGCATGCATTTACCATACTTGTTTATCCATTCATCAGTCGATTAACACTTGGGTTGCTTTCAGCTTTTGGCTATAATCAATAATGCTACAATGAGCATTCTTATATGCGGTCTTTGTAGATACATGTTTTCATTCATCTTGGGCATATGAAAGGGTTTCAGAATGTTTATGGACAAATTGAATTCAAAAACAATAACCTTTTGAAGTCTTCTTGTGTATGTAGGAATAGTTTTTGGATAAATGGTCATCCCTTTTAGCTTTTTCAGGAACTGTAGGACCACATTCTCTGTGTCTTCTATTTGCATATTCCATTCCCCCACTCCCATCTAAAAATGTGCCCTGGGGCCCAGAGGTGTGGCCTAGCAGCTAAAGTCCTAGCCTTGAACACACCAGGATCCCATATGGGCGCCGGTTCTAATCCCAGCAGCCCCATTTCCCATCCAGCTCCCTGCTTGTGGCCTGGGAAAGCAGTCGGGGACAGCACAAGGCCTTGGGACCCTGCACCCACGTGGGAGACCTGGAACAAGTTCCTGGATCCTGACTTCAGATCGGCATAGCATCAGCCGTTGCGCTCACTTGGGGAGTGAATCATCAGACAGAAGATCTTCCTCTCTGTCTCTCCTCCTCTCTGTATATCTGACTTTCCAATAAATAAATAAATAAATAAATAAATCTTTCCAAATGTGCCCTGACTCTTCTAAAGAAAGGCTCAGTGTCCATTATGAGAGCTAAGCTTGGAAGACAGACCTCACTTTTCATTCAGGGTCTGCCATGTGGTTAGATATGTAGGTTACACCTCACTTTGTTTATCATCCATCCTAAAGGACAGACAATGGCATCTGATTATGCTTTTCTTTGTATTACTTGATGGCCCATGATGTTGAACGTCACTTCATGCACTTATTGACCACTTGCGTGCTGTCGTTGGAGGCTGTCTGTTTGGATTCTTTGCACATTCTCTGTCAGGCTGTCTCTCTCTGAGCGTGAGCTGTTACCACATGCATGACCTGCCTGGGCTTTCTTCCCTTCTCTGTGCTGTCCGCACTTTTGTGACCGTATCGGTTGAAATCCAAATGCTTTTAATTTGATGAACTCTGGTTTATCTGTTTTGTTGTTTCTTGCTTATTTATGGCCATGTTCAAGAAAGTTTTGCTTAGCACAAATTACAAAGATCTACCTTTCCCCTTAATATTTTTAAAATTTAAGCTTTTACATTTATATCTCTGATCAGTTTTGAGTTAGTTTTTGCGTCTGAGGATCCGACTTCTTGCTTTTATATGTGGATATTTAGTTGTCTCAGTGGTATTTATTGACTAAGGACTTTTTATATCGAACTCATTTAATTATTACTAGAACCCTTCGAGGTGGGTTCCCTCAAACAGGAGAAAAAGTCAATCATGCCTACATCTACTAAATTATTGCTTTGCATTCTGAGATCTGGATCTAGGTAGTTCGAGTTCTAATGCCATAGTTTTAATAATGAATTAAAGCACATACCTGCTTACTCTTTTACTGTTTGAAACGAAAGAATAGCCTCAAAAATACTCATTTGTGAAAATATTGTATTTCTTATTTGTTGCGGTTTTGCTGAAATGGTTCTGCTTTCTTAATTTGTCTGTGGTTGATGGATTCAGTTAGTTGTAACATTGACTGATCTGAAGTCTAGGACTCTCCTTACAGCTTAGCGACAAGGCTTTGGCACCAGTTCCCCAGTACTCCGCTCAGTCATCTTTGGTCCTAGTCATCAGACAGATCAGATTAGAGGGAAGATGGTCATCACCAGTCCTGGAACAGTACTAGGCCACGAGTTTGAGCAGTGGTGGTCCAACAGCCCCCTGCCCCGAGCATCTAGAAAATGGACCTAAACTCTTAAGAGTGCTAGCCTAGCAGCACAGACCTCAGTGTTCCTGCAGGGTCTGCTACACAGTTAGAAATGTAGATTACACCTCACTTTCTTTATCGTATTAGGAAAGGTCGGACTAACCGATTAAGTGTTATCTGACCTGATCATCTATTTGTAAGACTGTCATATAATTAAACATAAGCATTTAAAAAAAAATCTGAGTCTGTATTTGCACAATGTCTCATGCTTGTTTAGTGACTCATCTTGAATGGACTGAATACCAAATGCTAAGGGATATTTTGAGGAGTCCAAATACTTTCTACATTTCAAAGATAAAGCTAGAAATCTTCTGTTTCGTTAGTTTAGGATTAGGTAGCAAGAAAAGGGAAGAAACCTAGTTCATGTATAAATTACTGAGGCCCCTTTTGCAAGCAGTTAGGGTGCAGTTTGCTGGTTTCATTTATCATAATAGGGAAAAATCAAGAGGAAGGGGAAGCATGCTGTAGATGTGGAGAGGAACATGAAGAATCTGAAGGGCTGGTCATTTTAATTAGTAATAATGTCTCTCCTTTTCAGAAACTTTACCGTTTATGTAACACTTTATTCACAATGTGACTCTTACAACAATCTAGAAAGGCAGGCTGGACAGGTGGAACCAGCCTTGTTGTTCAGATGAGAGAGCTGATTCAGAGTTTGTAACTCCCTGGGCATTTGTTTGTAGGTGGTGAGATTGGGACTTGACCCATGTCTTCATACTTTGAGTTCAGTGTTTTTCTTATGTCCTCCCCTGCTTGGTTTTGGAGACTTCCTTAAGCAATCATCTCAAGGGGAGAAAATTGAAAAGAACTCACATTTAATTCAAAATTCTTTTATCTGTTCTTTCCATGCATCCCGTGTAGAGCTGGGGGAAAATCTAATACCTTGTTTTTTTAGAAGCAGTGAAACTGTGTGTCCCGAGTAGGCATTTATCTACCCTGGGATTTCATTTCATGAAAACCCTTTGAGTCCTTGCAAGGTAACTATGAAGGCATGTCTTTGTTTTAGAGTCACTTTTACTGTCTAGCTGTACTTAAGGACAGGAAAGACAGAGGAATGGGATTCCTCCACCACCACCCCGTGGTAACTCCAGATTGAGCACATACTGGCTGTTGAACTGAAATCATGATGCTGGTCTGAGTGACCATGTGTTAAGAGCAGCCCAGTTCTTCTGTATGAGAATTCACTTTCCCTTGTCTTCTCTTGCCAGGTTTTGAAGGGAACACCTGTGAACGGAACATAGATGACTGCCCTAACCACAAGTGTCAAAATGGAGGGGTTTGTGTGGATGGAGTCAACACTTACAACTGCCGCTGCCCGCCACAGTGGACAGGTATGGACAGTGAGTGGCCAGTCCACCAGAGAGGTGTAGGTTGGAAAGGAGAGGCAGACTGTTATTTCAGTGAGTGCCTTTCAGGTTAGAGTCTTGGGTATGGTGGTGAAACTTTGTTTCATCCTGTTTCCACCAAGACAAATACTTTCACAGGTATTATTGGTCAGCACTTGCCCAGTGCCAAGCTGAGAGCTGTGGCATATAGGGGAGAAGAGCTTCCCCTGAGATGCCTGAGCTCATTATCTGGGAAAAGCAGCACAAAATAGATGCTTAGTGCATACGTGAGAGGAAACATTGACACCAAAATAGGTTGCACTTGTCCTATCTTATTGTCATGCCCCATAACTAGGCAAAAAGTAGGGCAGTTTTTTTTATTGTTTTGTTTTAAGATTTATTTAGTTTACTTGAAAGTTGGAGTTCCTGGCATGGCATGGCAGCTCAACGGCTAAATCCTCATTTTGTAAGTGCCAGGATCCCATGTGGGTACCAGTTCATGACCTGGCAGCTCCACTTCCCATCCAGCTCCCTGCTTGTGGCCTGGGAAAGCCTTGGGAACCTCCACTTTTGGGAGATCTGGAAGAAGCTTCTGGCTTCAGATCAGCTCAGCCCCAGCGTTGTGACCATTTGGGGAGTGAATCAGTGGTTGAAGGATCTTTGTCTCGGTTTTTCCTTCTCTCCATAAATCTGATCTGTCTTTCCAATAAAAACAAATAAAAGAAAAAGTTGGAGTTACAGCAAGAAAGAGGGAAGACAAAGAGATTACCTGCTGATTCATTCCCCATATGGCCACAGTGGCCAGAGCTGGGCCAATACAAAGCCAGGAGCTTCTTCCAGGTCTCCCATGTGGGTGCAGGGGCCCAAGGACTTGGACCATCCTTCGCTGCTTTTCTACGCCATTGGCAGGGAGCTGGATTGGAAATGGAGCAGTTCGGACTGGAGCCAGAGCCCAAATGGGACGCCTGTGCCGCAGGAAGAGGATTAGCATGCTGTACCACTGTACCAGGCCCTGGACAGTTACTAAGACATTGTTTGAATGATACATTTCCTGCGTTCTTTTTTCTTTCTTGTATTCCTGCTGATTCAAAGGACAAAAATAGATTTCCCTGTCTCTGACCTAAGAAGAATCGTTTTGGTTAATTTTACAGCCTCTGGGAAATTTCTCCTGTTGTTTTAGGCAGGGTTTTCCATTATTTTTGAAAATTGGGTAATTTATGCAGACATTTGGGAATAATTTCTCTGTATCTGCCAAAAGTGAAAAAAAATTAAGAACTAATTAAGGGATTTAGAACTGAACTTTTTTGATAGGAATTGATTGAGTTCGTGTGGAAGCTGGAGAAGTGAGTAGTGTAAGAAGGAACTGTCGTGCTCAGGACAGATTTCCTCGTGCCAGAAAGTCAGGATGTTGGAGTGCAGCCAGCACTGTTCTTTCTCGCCTTGGAATTGCTTCATTTTATCTGTAGTGTCTAAATCGGAATACTGTAGAGCTGGAGGTTATGAATAGAAAAAGACAAAATAATTTAAAGCTTCCATAGCATGATTTTCTGGAAGAGCATTTATTTAATTCCCGAACTGTACTTTTTTTGTTGTCCCAGTGGTTTTCCCTAGAATTGGACTTTCCCTAGACTTTGTTCCCAATGTCTTTTTTAAGATTTATTTATTTGGAAGGCAGAGTTGGGGAGAGAGGGAGAAAGAGATTAATATTCTTCATCTGCTGTCTCACTCCCCAAAGATACACAAAAGCCAGGTCTGGGCCAGGCTGAAAAACCAGGATCCCAGCAACCCATCTTGGTCTCCCATGTGGATGGTAGGGACATAAACACTTGATGTAAACACCTTCTCAGGTGTGTCGGGATGAAGTGGAATCGGAGGTGAGTGGCTAGGACTTGACCCAGCACTCTGCTGAGAGATCAGCCATCCCAGCATCAGCTTAACCTGCTGTGACGCCATTCTGTTGTAGCTTCCCTGGCTTTTGCCATTGGTTGGCGTAATTTTCAGAAACCATATTTACAACTAAAAGAAAAAAAAAAAAGATTGCTGCCAAGATAATTATATAACAGCACTGAAAAGGAGTTTATCCTATTCTCAGTGACTTCACTGTGGTGTTAGTCAGGACCAGGTACTCGGCAAGGATTTGATTCCATTGTCATTTCCCCTTGCCCCGGGAGAGAGTAACCCTACGTGGTGAAGAGTAAATAGTGTTGAAATCCCTTTGTGGATTTTTCTTTGATTAGGAAAGTCTAGTTTAGGGGACACAGTCTCAGTGAAATTATTGCCTTACCCAAATTTCTTACCCAAAGATGTTTGGTTAATGCTTTCTTTCTGTCAGAGTTCTTGTAAAATATTCTTGTGTTTTGTATTTTAGGGGAAGGGTGGCAGAGGTCACAGTTAAGTTCAGTGTGGCAATGTTCATGACTTTTGATACGATTTCGTTTAGCGTGACCCTCAGTTTTGGTTTCTCACCACAGGTTTCCTTCCTCTTTTGCGCTCATGCCCAGTTCTTGACTTTTCAATGGCAGGCCTTCGTTTTTCGCCCTGCCTGTCATCCGCTGGGTAAAGCCCGTGGTGTTTCCTGTGTTGCGCGAAGCCCTGTCTTCTCTGGTCTTGCAGCCGAGAAGCGGGGTTGCTCACTGTTAGCAGCCGTTCTCAGTTCTGTCTCTGCCACGTGCTGTTTCACACAGTTCCTTTTCTCTAGATTTCTGTTCTCCACATCTCCCATGTTTCCTGCACAGTTTTTTTGCCCGCCTAACTCAGACCACCTGGCTACCTTGCTCTGGAAGCACCCAGCCTTTCAACTGAGCCGTCCGTTCTCCTTTGGTCTCCCTTGTGACACTCACCCCTCTTCTGTTAATGCCATCAATGCTTGCTATGGGGAGAGTCCCCCTCTCTTCTTTTTTAAAGGTTTGTTTATTTATTTATTTTTATTGGAAAGGCAGATATACAGAGAGAAAGAGTTGCAGAGAGAAAGATCTTCCGTTCCACAGGTTCACTCCACCAGAGCTGAGTGGATCTGAAGTCAGGAGCCAGGGGCTTCTTCGGGGTCTCCCATGCGGGAGCAGGGTCTCTAGGTTTTGGGGCACTAACTGGTGCCCATATGGGATCCTGGCACATACAAGGCGAGGACTTCAGCCATTAGGCTACTGCGCTGGGCCTGTGGGGAGTATCTCTTGCAGACTGTCGTCCTCAATAGCATATGGCTGAGCTGTTTAAAATCCCAACACCTACCCTGTTCTGAGGAAAAAACTAGATTTTGAGTTATAGGGTTCCTGGCTTGGCAGATAGGAATTGAAGTTTTCTGCTTTACGTGAATTAAAGAAATGAGTGGAGTTTGGTTCCAGGAATTAACTTGGATTTATTAGCACACAAATAATATGCTGATTTCAGATTTTGTTTCTTTTTTTGGTAAAAATTGTGCTGAATAGATTTTATGTAAACTTGAATATACTGTATTTAAATAGTATTTGAATATACTTTTAATGTGTGATGATGCATATTCAAAAGATTTAAATAATTTGCCCAAGGCGCATATTAATTTGGCTAGGGTTTGAATCTAGGGTTGTTGAACTCCATATTTATACTAAAACTGTAGTTTTTTCCTGTATAAAATTGATTTTATGAATTTCTTTATTTTTAAGGACTTTGGGCTGTGTAACTGATTAAAAGTTTAATTTATAATTTTATTTTTCTAGGATTTGGTGGTTTACCCTTCGCATTTTCCCCCTTCTAAGATTCTGATAATTTGGGGTTAATGCAGACATTTTGCATTCCATCTGGTGCCTTTCTGCTGTATCTGAGAGCCTTCTTCCAGCTCTGTTCCTAATTCCCTTTGCACTTGCTGTAACCATAGAGGTAGAGCATTCACTATTTGGTCTGGCTTTTGACAAAATGGAAAAGGAAGGATCAAGTTACACTAGTAGTACTTACTAGTACTAAGTTACACTAGTAGTTAAATGAAATTGTGAGCCATCTGCAAGAGAATGAGTAAGATTATGACTAAAAAAAAAATGAGTTGCTAATTTTAAATACATGGAAATTCCAACTTTTTAAAAAATGTTTTTAACAAAAAAGCCCAGAGGATATAATTTTATTAGTTCTAGACATAGAGGTGAACAAATTTTTCCAACTGATTTACATCAAGTCAGCTTCCTTTTCATAGAGAGTTTTAGTTGCTATCCATGGAACTAATATCGCCTACTTCATTGGGTTTTTTTTTGAGCATCAGTGGTACAAATGAAAACTGTTTTCCTTCATTCAAGAAAACAAGTATTATGCCAAAAATTCTAGATCCATGCTGTTCAGTAAGGTGGCCACTTTCCTATTAAGCATCTGAGTTATGACTGGAAATGTGCAATCAATATAAAATATTGATTTTGAAGAGTTGATTTAGAAACCAAATCTTATTACTAATATTTAAATATTGAGAAAACTCTAAGGTATTAAATACATTAAGTTAAAGAAAATAAAATTAATGTTGCCTTGCCTTTTTTCCATTTTTTTAAAGTGGCTACTGGAAAACTTGCAATTGCATCTGTGTGTCAGTTGGATAGTACTACTCTCCAGAAGCATGTTTGCTGTTACAAAATGGGAAATTTTGCTGTGACCCTGGCTGGAAGGACAGAGCTTTTCATGGACGGGCGTTGTCTTGGCCCTGTTCTGGTGTGGGCTTCCCATCACCTGTAGGTGGGATTGTGTTACAGTCCAGCTCGGAACCTTTCTGTCATCTGGAGCTGTGATTGTCCCTCCAGAAACCGTTGCTTTTCTGGGCTAAGCTGAAGCTCAGAGGCAAAAAAGAAATTGGCGTAGGGGTGCGAGTGCAGGCAGATGGTTTACTTCTTTATAGGAATCTTGGTGTAGCGACAAGTCTGAATAACGAAATATTCCTTCAGGAAATGAAAGTGTACCTAAGGGTTTGACGAAGACTGAACACAAATGTCTTTATTATACTGTGCTTGGCCCTCAGCCATCTTATCAGAGGAGTTCTGCTCTGGCCGATATCCATTTAA